TACAGCATTTTTTCACACCTGCCTAAAACTTTTGCACAGTACTGTACATAGGTTTATTCAATTTGCAGTCTTTTTGTTGTTAATTAACTCCATCCAGCATGGCCAAATATCAGATATGATGGATATTATAGTCCAGCAACATATGGACAGCAAAATGTTCCTATGCTTAAGATAAATAATTATCTAGTTTGATTGCAGTGGCAAACAATGCCATTTTGTTGAAGAAAACGAAGGAGTACAAGAAGAGTAAGACACCCTACGCTTGTGGAGTTTAAGGCTTTTTCCTACCATGGCTGGCACTGAGTTGTGTTACTGTAGGGAATTTAAAGGTTAAAAAATGAAAAGTTAATTTTACCTAATTTCAAAGGTTAAGAATTCTCCTCAAAGCAAAAACCAAACTCTTTTACCTTTTATACGTTTATTTTGTTTAAGCCTTCTCATCATTTTGTATGGATGTTGTTATTATTGCAGTATAATGAGGGAATTAAATGCAAATAGCAGTTTTCCTACTAACTGTTTTTCAACTTTGGTTTTCACCAGAAGTCACAGCTTCAAGAAATATATATGAGTGCTATGTACATTTGCTGAATGTTGATATGCTTAACAAGACCCATCTTAACCTAAATTAACAATACAGGTCACTGTATTAAAACTAGACTGATTCACAATATAGAAAAGCTTAACTAAGGTCTTGTGCTCTATGCAAGATGATGCAATCCCTTGTTATAACTAGTTACAGACAAAAGACATGCAGGTAGAACACATTGGGCCTTCTAGTAAATCAGGGGCACAAACCCTGACTGAATCAAAGTGGCCTTTATAACCAATCCCAAATCAGTCCCCTCACCACATCTTCATACAACATGTACTGATAGGGGCATACTGAAATTACAGCCCCTACCCTTTGTTATACATGATTAAGTAGCAGTATGTGTGATCAGGTATGTGATGCAAACATAGGAAAATTAATTGCTCTTTCCAGATGAAAAGGACATGTTGATCCAAAAAACGCATCAGAGATTTTACTTCCTGCCTAGGGTGGAATAACATTGTTGAACCTCACCCAACTGAAAACTGTTACGCATAAATGCAGAATTCTGTATCACCCTATGTTTTGTCGGTTATCCCATTGGTGCTTTTTTGGATTATTATAGAATGGTCAAGAAGCATCTGTTACTTTCCCCCCCTATTTAAAAGTAATACTGGAAAAGATCACATGTTGAAATACCATATCATGTAGAATAAAGAGGGATATGTGGCATAGCTTTCATGTTTACGTAAAAGAGGAAAAAATCTCTTATATTTACCAGGTTAGAAGATATATTAGTCTCTTACAGTATTCCCCAATCTTCCAGAGCTGAGTGGGAATCTGTGCAAATGAAAGAATTTGTTCCATTAACACTTGGCATACTATCAGCAAACAGAATATAATATATGCCAAAGATATTGATTTTTAAATGTATAACTGCACATTTTGTAGTGTTCTGTCCTTACCAAATGAAATTAACCGAAAATCCTACTCCAAAGCAGGTTCGGTTTGTTATATTGAAGTGCTCTTAAGAAGTTTATTTCTTTGCCAAATCCATATCAGGTAATGTTTGTCTTCTATTTTCAGGATGCCATATCACAAAAATCTGTAGATATTCATGATTCTGTGCAATCAAAATCTTTAGATAGACGTCAGTTTCAACCTATTGTAGGGTTGCCTGCAAATGAGGAGGTCAGCAAAAACAAGCCTACTGCAAGTAAGAAGAAATTTTCTTAAGCGGTTATTTGACAACCTGCATTTGTTTCTATGTTAGTTGTTGCTGTTGTTTTCCTTTTGACAGGTAGCTGCTTATTCTGTGTCAGAGATAACTCAGTTCTATAAACATTGGGAATTAATATCAGGTGCCACCATCACAAAAGAGTCTGGCTTTCTAAGGGCCTCCTGTTTCATTCTGAATGCCTTAGTAACCTAATTACTAAGATTTCTGGTTGTTGAAAAAAGATTCTCACTTGTGATGTTCTTTACAGTTTCTAATTATAGTGTGCATTCCTTCCCATTTTATGATTGCTTCCCACTTTCAGGTTTTTAGAAAAGATACTAAAAAAAAATTCCTGCCTTCCTTTTAAGTTCTTTTCAGTGGTTTGTTTTTTTATACTGTAACTTTATTAATTTTTACTGTTTCTGATTAAAAAATTAACCAACACAAAGTAATATTATATAAAGAATAAGAAAAAGAAAATTGAAAAAAAAAGAAGATAGTAAATATCAAAAGTGCAGAAAAGAAAAAGAGAGAATCAACAAAAGAAAAAAAAAATTGATTTCTGACCCTCCTTGCAACAGATATAAATTACAATATACATCAAACTCTTGCTCTAAGTTTACAACTTAACTCCCATTGGCTGGTGTGGGTCTTCCGGGCTGTGTGGCCGTGTTCTTGAAGTTCTGTTTCCTAACGTTTCGCCAGCACCTGCCTTCGACAATACATTAACTCCCATTATTTCTATTAACCTATGCTATTTCTAATCATCAAATCCATACAACTCAATTTCATTTTTTTTCTTTCCCACAAAAAAAAAGGGTTCCAATTTGCATTAAAATTACACAATATCTTTTCTTAAATCCATCAATTTCGCCATATCAACCCCTCCATAATGTCGTATCTTTCTACCTTTATACATATAAGAACATTACTGCTGTTATCGTATATAAAAACAAAAATTCCTTAAATTTAGTAACAAATATTTTTAACTTTAATCCTTATACACAGATCCTTAAAACCTCGTCATTGAGTCCTAGTTAAAAAAAAAAAAAAATCCCATTAATAACTACCAAAAAACCTCAATATATGTATTCACCATAATAAAATAAATTCACTTCGTAAACCTTCTGTTTACTTTTAAAAAGCATAATCTTTAATCCTTTCAAATAATGTTCCACAGGTTGATTCTCCATCTTTCTCTCCTTATCCTCTCCCAAAAATAGCCCCAGTAGTTTCTCTTTGTTTCTTCCCAGGAACAGCCTCTCCAATTCATCACACTCCTTTTGCAAATCCAAGATAAAAAGTCTTTCCAAGACGCTCTTCTTTTCCATTGTTTGTATATCCAACATCCTTTCCCACATCACTCTTGTCCTTTGGCATTTTTAAATCCATTTTCAAATCCACAGCATCTTTGTTTATACCACCTTCATAGTCTTGCATTTTTTTGAACTCCAAATCCACTTTCAAGTCAGTCTCCACCTCCGTTTCAAATTTAACCATCTTATCCAATCTTTGCTCTATCTTTTTTTCAAGGGACTTAAATTTAGCTCCTAATTAATCAAACATTGACTGAAGTAAACTTAAAAGAGTTGCTTTATCTTCTAATGGCTGCTCAAGGGACCTCTTCTAGACATTTTCTTATTATTTTTTTCCTACGCAAGCAACCGTAGGTATTATATAAGTGAAAGTAAGCAGACAGTTCACGCCCTCTGGTGCCTTTCACACTGTAATTGCAGGCACACATCAGAGGAAACACATAAGGATCAAATTACAATCTTCTTCTGTTTTAAGAACTCAGCCAATTAACAGGCACCATCTAGCAAAACAAGAAACTTTCCTATGGAAAAGGCTTACCTCGTTTCTGCAGATGGAGTTTTGTAGAAAAATAAACTTCTAACAAATCTTTCCTTTTCATAATAAACCTTCACATCTGATGCAGATTTCCTTATACATTATTTTTAAGGGTTTCTATGTGCCTTTCTCATAAAATAGCTTGGGAGGTAATGGTACAGATTTTTAAGAGAAAAGCGTTTCAATTCCAATTTTTCTCCTGCATTTTGCGAATTAATCAAATTCACATTAAAGTTCTATTTCTTCTTTTAAAAATAGAGTCACAAAAATAAAGATAAGCCCCAAGAGAATGACTTACCTGTTGCAAAGGAAGGTCTCTCTTAAATTAAAAAATAGTTACAATCCACAGTGTTTAGAAAGGAGGTTTGGTCGGCTCTAGTGTCCATAAAAGGCTGCAGTGCAGCTTCAAAGATGGATCCCCGGCCTGCTGGCTGCTTGAATGGAAAGCTGTTCGCTGAAGCTGCCATCTCCACGATTAGCATTTGAGGGTGGGTTAATTACCTCGCTTCCTCCTTAATCCAGAGCAAGTTGGGCGGCCAGCACTTGCTACAAGCCACCGATCCCACTGTGGTGCTGTCTCCCCTCTCGCAGAGAGATGATTAAGCCACCATTGTCACCACCGGAAGTAGTGGCTTATTGTTTTCAATGTTTTATGTGGTTTCTTTTATATTGCTTTAAAGGTTTCTGTGAAAAGGTCATATAACAGTATTAAAAGTAATATAGCACACTTCCATGTGAATTTGGAATTAGCTCAGGACCCATTCAATTTCACAATGTCAGATCACTCCCCAAAAGAATGTTACACCTTTAGAGGATCATACTTTTAAACATTATTCTTGATGTTTTAGTGTTAATCCAATTTTGAACTTAAATTAGCAGCTGAAATTTAATTTAACACACTTTAGTTTGATTGTACAGCTTTGACGTTTAATTAAACAATATACTACTATGATCTTTCTGATAAAGATAGAGATGGGCAAGATTTAGCTCTTCAGAAATTATTGGATTGCATTTCGGTAATTCCTTATCACTATCTTTGGTGGCTAGGGCTCGTGGAAATTTGTCTTCAACAACAGTTAAGGCCCTTATATTGATTATCATTAATTTTACAAGTAGCATAGGATACTTTATATCAGTAAAATTAGGATAATACATTTGGCAATTGTATTAGTATATATTCAGGGCAAGGAATTTGGCAGACAGTAGAATGTTTCTAACAGTTACATAGATCTTTAGTAGCTTGCATGATTATTCCAGTTACCAAATTTATTTTACTTTTTTCTTGTTTTAAAAGAATTTCCAGATCAGAAACTGTTTGGTGCACTGTTAATCAAATGTGTAGTACAACTGGAACTTATTCAAACAATAGACAGCATTGTATTTTTCCCAGCAACCAGCAAAAAGGAAGATGCAGAAAATCTAGCTGCAGCACAGGTAAGGAGAATTTAATAGTATCAATATTTGTGTAAGTGTTTTCTTTTTCCAGCCTTGAGCTAAATGGTCTGTTTCATAAATTTTGTAATTTCTGGATGAAAATTCCTGGATTCCCAAAAGATATTTCTATAAGCATCCAGAACAAACTATGACAATGTAAAACATGGAGCATGCATCATAACATCAACCTGGCCTCTTGTACTTGGGTGCCAGTGTTTGGATGCAAGTATGTCAATTGTGGTTTGAATGGTGACATCAGAGAGTATATTTTGTTATTTGCACCCTTGACACCCAAAGATCCTTAGAATATTTCTTATTTAGATACAAAAAAAAAAAAAAATACAAGTGAGACTTAGTTTCTTGCTTCTACTGTAAACCTTTTGAGTGCATCCTGTTTAATCAAACAGTGTACTTAGAGAATATCTTTTAGATACAAATATGCTTCGCATCTGATGCAGATTTCCTTATTTATTATTTTTAAGTGTTTCCGTGTGCCTTTCTCATAAAATAGCTTGGGAGGTAATGGTACAGATTTTTAAGAGAAAAGCATACGGTTTATCTCATCACTGTGGCTACATAATTCTCATGCTTCAGAAAGAAGCCGCTTCCCACAGATAGTGGCTGCTTCTGAAGGATGCCAATTTTTGTCCTTTGGATGTATAAAATCATTAAGTAATTTAAATAAAGTAATCATTAAGTAACAACATCACTTAAATTGGTAGGTTTCACATGTAAAAAGAAAGACTTGTATAGTGTAAATACCTTTTACCATGTCATTGCTCTGATTACTCTAAGTAGAGTAAAAGCTCGATTTAACAGGTTCCCCATTTTGCAGACTTCAGATACAGTGGGCAAAATCTGCATGCAGGCATCACTTCAAAATAATGGACTTCTCTTGTATCTGATGACTAAGTAATGTTGGTTGCATTAATTTACATCATTTGTGTGTTTTGCATCAATGTATGTAATAATATAATTAACTAATGGCATAAATTCAGATTTAACTAATATTTGGGATTTACTTATTTATTACGTTGATATCTTGATGTAATCAATTTGACTCTCAACTGCTGGAAACCCTATTGAGATTTATTGTGACACCCAAAAGGCTAACTATATTAATCTTAATATAATCTTCCTTCCTTCCTTCCTTCCTTCCTTCCTTCCTTCCTTCCTTCCTTCCTTCCTTCAGAGAGATGCAGTAGATTTTAATGTTCATGTGGACACACAAGATCAAGGAATGTATCGTTTTTTAACATCACAGCAACTTTTCAAACTGCTGGATTGTTTATTAGAATCTCATAAATTTGCTAAGGCTTTCAACTCAAATAATGAGCAAAGAACTGCATTGTGGAAAGCAGGTGAGTCTTTCTTGCCAATTGTAAGGACTTTCAATGATGAATATTACAGAAAAATACAGTATAGATAGTCTTCAGATTATGATGGCAGTTGAGACCAGAATTTCTGTTGCTACATGATGCAGTCGTAAAGTGCAATGTCACAGGATCACATCGTTTAACGATGGCAATCCCACGGTCCCAGTTGCCATGATAACCCCAGGACCATGCAGGTTGTTAAGTGGGAAGAGGTGGGAGTCCCAGGCAAGCAGGCCAGCAGGTAGGAACTACAGAGCACAGGCAGGTAAAAAAGTAGCAGGAATGACTTCCAACTTCCTGCTGGCTTCCCCATTGTCTTTGGGGGACACTGGCAGGGAATGTTGGAAATTGCAGTCACGTGACTGCAGCTTGCTGCAAGGTTGTAATTGCGAGCCAGGCACTGAGCACCCAGCTTGCAGTCATGTGACCACAGGGACGCTGTGACAGCCAGAACTTAGCGGACTGGTTATAAGTTTCCCTTGTTCAGCGCCATTGTAAATTTGAACGATGGCTAAAGCGTTCATAACCCAAGGACTACCTATACAGTAAGGTATTTTAATATGGCACAGTAAAATTATAGATAGAAAATGTAACAATGCTTTTGGTTACAAGTTGTTTACTGATAACAGAAGCAATAAATCATGTCTTTTAATGCTTGGAATCCAAATTTCTTTGTGCTGATATTTTAGAGGAATATGAATTCTGGATTGCCTTTGGTTATTCACTCACTATTTCTTCAGTGACTGTGATCCAATCATTTTTTTTTTTTTTATAAAATTTTTTATTTTTACAACAAACACAAAACATACATGGACAAACAAAACCATAAAAAGGCATAAAAAAA